GTGACCGAAAACTAACTCAAATGGACTAAACCCTAATGATTCTTGAACTGACTCACGAGCCGCGAACAAAAGGAAATGGACGCCGTCGTCCCAATCTTTCTCAGTTTCAAAACAATATGTCTTAATCATTTGCTTCAATGTTTGGTGAAACCTTTCCAGAGCGCCTTGACTTTCTGGATGATAAGCTGACGAGTTGTATTGTTTAATACCTAGTTCGTGCATAATTTGTTGAAACAACCCTGACGTGAAATTCGAACCTTGGTCAGACTGGATGGATTTTGGAAGACCAACTAAAGTGAAAAACTTTGTAAGTGCTTCTACAATGGTTTTAGCCTTGATATTTCGAAGTGGTATTGCTTCAGGAAAACGGGTCGAAACACACATAATTGTCAATAAATATTGATTACCTCGCTTAGTTTTAGGTAATGGTCCGACGCAATCAATCATAATACGGCTAAATGGTTCTTCAAAAGCCGGAATTGGTTTTAGCGGTGCTTTTGGGATAACTTGATTTGGTTTGCCGACTACTTGACAAGTGTGGCATGTTTTACAGAATTCTGCCACGGTTTTTCGAACTCCAGGCCAATAAAAATGTCGTATGATTTTCTCATAGGTTTTGTTTATTCCCAGATGTCCTGAAAGGGGTGTTTTGTGTGCTAAACGTAAGACTTCTTCACGGTAAGGTTTTGGGATAACAATTTGGTATCGAACTGACCATTCATCATCAACACTAACATCAGGTGGTCGCCATTTCCGCATTAAAATATCGTTTTTGATAAAGTATCCCATTGCCTGGTCTGAAATTTCTTTTTCATCGAAAGCTTGTTGAATTAGAATAGCTATTTCGGGATCATTATTTTGCTCGTGAATGAGATTAGATGTTGACAAGCTTTTTGTGTCTATCGCATCGTTTTTCGTAATCTGTGTTGTTTTAGGGCCACTATCAAATAACTGTGTAAGAAAAGTATCGGACAAATCATAGGATGAATCAAGGTCATCTCTTTTATTATTCTCTAATTCTTGTTGTTTTACCATTGCTCTTGTGACCGCACACGATGGATATAAATTTGGAATTTCTTGTTCAATGACGTCGGAAATTGATGTTGAGCATGGTTTGTTTGTCACTATTGGATTGACTGTCACTTTTTCACCCGCAAGATCGTTGCCTAATAACAATTGTATTCCATCGAAAGGCAATGTATCGATGATACCTATCGAAACATCTCCGGAGACTAAATCTTGTTTCCGGAATATGATTCCGCAGAAAATGGCAATGTGTTTGTCAGTATTAAAGATTGAGACGCTCCAGTATCGCGTAATACTTGAACTGGAATACGTTGTGTTGGATTGTTCAAAAGTGAAACACTAGCCGCATTTACAAATGGTTCAAATACTTTCATTATAGGGTCAGCATTGGCTTTGACCTCTATCAAATCCTCTTGAGTATCACTAGCATTATTACTATCAAAAACAGATGTTGTGTTGTTATCCGGTGTTGAAACAATGCCGGTTGGTTTTGTTTGATTTTGTGGATTTCTGTAGCAATCTGACATCGTGTGTCCTTTACGCTTACAATAGCCACAAGTGATGGTACTGAAAGGAAAATTATTTCGTTTGTTCGGAAATTCCGACGTTTTATTCGGCTGGAAATTTTGTGGCGGTCGTCGCCAACTTAGATTAGTCGTGTCGCGTGATGCTCTGGGGTCATATTTTCCCCGGTTATCGTGCAGATATTTTCTGGCCGGTGTGTGTCTGTTGTCAAAATTATTTGGTTGTGACTTCTTTTCAAATGTGGTCTTGTGAGTCAACGCGAAATCGTCTGCCAAACGGGCCGCTGCAATGAAACTGTCAGGTTTTTGTTCATTTATAAATGTGCGGACTTCGGGGTTAACGCAACGTTTGAATTCCTCAATTAAAATCAGTTCCCGCAAATTTTTGTATTCTTTATTGATTTTCTCAGATAAGCACCATCGGTCAAACAACTGTTCTTTTACTTGGGCGAATTGGACATATGTTTTGTGGTCAGTTTTTTCAAAGTTTCGAAATTTTTGGCGGTATGCCTCTGGGACCAACTCGTAGCCATTAAGGATAAGTTCCTTTACCGTATCATAATTAGCTGATAATTCTACTGAAAGTTGCGAAAAAATTTCACGAGCTTTACCAACTAATACACTTTGTAACAGCATCGTCCAGCTGTCTTTTGGCCACTCACAATTTGTGGCAATTTTTTCGAAATGTAGGAAATATTGGTCTACTTCCCGTTCCTGGAAGGGTGGAACCGTTCGGACATGCTTGGTCACGTCAAATTTTTGACCCGAATTAACTCTAAGATTTTGCCCTTTTGCCTGAACCTCTAATTCCAATTTTCTTAACTCTAATTCCTGTTCCCTCAATCTAAACTCTCTTTCTTTCTCTATTCTTTCTCTTTCCCACTCGCGTTTCTCTCGTTCTCTTTCCCACAAAACTTTCTCATGCTCTCTCTGCCACTGTCTGTCTTTCTCGCTTATTTCACTATCTTCACTAATCTGTGTATTTTCTACTGTATTTATACTTTGTTCCATGAAAACAGACTGTTCGAATGTTTTTTCTTTAACAAAATGTTCCTTGATTAAATCGTATACTTCGCGTTTTCTGAAGGTACTTCTTACTTCTAGCCCTAAATGCTTGGCTAGCGTAACTAGGTTATCTTTACGCAGGCTATTAAAATTTTCTATGGTTGGTTCCACCATAAATTCGCTGGGGTTAAATTCTGACATGCTTATTTAATTAAGATCAATTAAGGTATCTGGTTTCACACTTAACACTATGACGCATGCAGAATGTATTCCTCAAATTCCGCTTAATATCTTATCAATGAAATGACTTTCCAATTTTTATTTGTTTTAACTTGAAATGCTAATTTTCTTTTGGAGCATGCAACTGTTTAGACTGGTTTTACTCTTTCCCGCCTGAGCCCCCAACTGTTATGGTGCGTTATTTATGCGTCAAATATATTTTCCAATTAGGTATATTTTCAACCTTTAGGCTTCGGGTTCAAATTATATTAACGCTACCGTAACACAAATAGCATGAAACCTTATACCTTTTATATATTTTATTTACTTTCAACAATATGAATTAGCGTCTCTATAATGTTATAATAATATAGTAATCTTAATATATCAACTTATCTCTCTATTTGTTTGAGCTGAGCACAACTTTGAATCTTTATTCTTTATACTTTGTATTCCGTCTTCTTTAATAATAATTATTCCACAATATTCCAATGTTCTTCAGTTTACTTGACGAGGCTTAATTATCTAGCCTTTTAATTATATACTTCAGCCTTTGTTGGCTTATGAAGTATTTTAGCCTAAATGGCTCTTCTCACTTCACTCTCCGCCCTCGACTCTCAGGTTGTGCTCAGCTTTTATAATAAATTTTAGAGGAAGAAATCTGTAACTATGACTAATTTCCTCTACGCAATATGTTTGTCAAAGCAAGTTCTAGCAGTGTTTATCAACCACAAAACTATGTCCTGTTTGCGTGGTTTGTGGTACTAGGCGTTTCCCGTGGTTCTTTAATCTCTCTAAATATTTGCTTATTCATGCGAGGAAGGTTGCCTAAGGTCTTCCTCTTATAATTATAACAGTATACTGAATATATAGTATTGAATATAGTATTGAATATATTAAATAACATGGTATAACACTGCCATGTTACAATTGCTAGGTCAACCATAGCATCCACTTGCATTAAACTCATAAATCAAATGCAATATGTCCCAGAGTGTATTAAATGTAATTATGTTGATATCAAACTGTATGACGATTCGTTTTCACTATTATTGTACCATTTTTAGTAATAAATTAATATTAATGTGTTAATTAAGTTAATGTTTGAATAAGCTTTTATCAGAAATCAATATGATTGGCCGACCACCACATTACACCTATGAACCAATCAGCAACAACCTTTGAAACAGTGCGACCTCACTAATTTGGAAAGAGCACAAAAAGTTAGTTACTAAGTTCTTCAACCTTTTTTGATTTAGTTCAATAGTTTCTGAGATATAGGCCCTCAAACATGGCAATTTTGACCCTTTAGCGAAAAAAATCCGTCGTACTAAATTTTGCTTGGGGGCCTGGGACTCAGGAACCCAATTTGCAAGCACGCCGTCTTTCCTAATAAAAAACATATATTTTCGCTTGTGATATCTGTTGCGTTTTTTGAAATAATGCCCGAACGATGCGTTGTCTATGGCTGTAACAACACAGCAAGATCAGAAAAAGGTGTATCTTTATATCGTATACCTTACTGCGACGATAATCGGCAAGTAGCAAAAGGCAGGCGAAAGAAATGGTTGGACTTTATTCGGCGGAAGAGAGACCAATGGACGCCAAGTTCTGGTTCAGTTGTTTGCTCAAAACACTTCACGGAAGACTGCTTTGAATACGGTTCCGACACAGACCCACTATACAAAACCCCTAAGCTTAAACGAGATGAAATTGGGATTACTGCTGTTCCATCTTTGATGCCAAAAGCGACATGTTTGGATAGTGAACGCAATGTGCGCCTACAACGCAGAGGAAAGGTATGAATATGTTTCTTGTATATTTTCTAGTGTTTTAGTTTGAATTAAAATAAAGTTCGAATCGTGTGTATTTAGTCATATTTCATGCATTTGTGTTAAAGTATTTATGATCTTTGAATCTCTATATTTATAGCTATCATTTATGGAAGAAGGACCTTCGACTAGTATTATGGAGGAGCCTCAGGTATGTTGGAGTTTGAAACAATGTATCACATTTCCTGAAGTGATGTGTGATAATTTATCAAGGCAATGTCAGTTGTCGCATGTTTTTAAACCACATACAAATAGAATATATATATTATATATATTATAGATATCATATGTGGAAGAACCTTCGACTGGTGGCAAACGTAAGTATCTATGTCAGCAGTGGTCGTTTGTATATATACTGCTTGTAAACTCCATACAAATATAATTAAAATGTTAATTAGTGACAATCTTACAATAATTGGTGCTGTTATAAGTATATTTTTTGTGTTTTAGTTTGGCGAACAGTCTGAAGGCATTCAATGTGGCAATTGTGAATCCTTATTGAAGAAAAATAGACAGCTTCGTCTAAATTGGCTGTCTGCAAAACATAAGCTTGAAATTTGCAGAAATCAAATGGACTCACAAGTGGAAAGCCAATTAGGTGAGTTACTTGCATTTCTTTTTGCCTTACATAATTAGGGGGGGGGGCCGAGGGGGTGTCCAGACCATTGCAGAACAAGTCTGATTGCCATTGCCATATATAGATGTATTAGTGTTTCATTCACACCCAGTGGCCAGTTTGATAATGGCTACATACTGTATATATTAACGACATTTTTTGATCATCAGGAAATGATTCCCAAGACATGCCTTCCAGCAATGATCCCACACCTGCAAGTACGCCAATTGTAAGCGATGATGAGCATTCTAGTTCAGATATTGGATTACCTATATCAGATGCTGTTTTTGATGAAGAAGCACCAATGGAATCGACAGAAACAGAGACAGAGGATGAGACAAATCCACAGCATAAAAAGTGAGTGCACAACCCTGATAATATAATAAAATGTGTGGGTAGGCTAAGAACGACACCAGTAGTTTGTAATTACATATATCAGAGGCAACCAACATAAGCTGTATGGATTTACTAAATATGTGTTAATTTTTCAGGGTTTTTAATGATTCTAATTTGCGAAGAGAACCAAAGTTCATTGTGTTCTTCACCCAGTTGCTTACACTCTTCAAATTTTGCCATGCCTGCAAATTTGACCATCCATTAATTGATGTTCAAGAGAATGGTACAATGGCTGAAGTAACATCCACATGTGCTAACCCAAAGTGTGGCAGGACAACCAAGTGGTTCAGTCAGCCGTATATGACAGGCACGAAGATCCCAGCTGGCAATTTCCTTCTATCATTTGCGATACTTGTTGCTGGAACATCAGCCACAAAAGTGTTGCGGGTATTTAATCATATGGGATTGAAATGTATCTCACTTTCAACATTCTTCAAACATCAACGTGTGAGTGTTGGTACATAATAAATGTTTAATATTATAAGGGGCCATTTAATCACACGATCCTGGTTTGGAAATTGCATAGATAGGGTACCATTGAGCACTATTTTTCTCCCCTTGATTAGTAAATTTATACTTGCATTTTTATTCGCAGGAAAAGCTATTCCCTGGAATATTTATTCACTGGAAAAAATATCGAGAGGGATTGATTCAAGAACTGAAGAACCATGGTGACCTAGTGGTAGCTGGTGATGGAAGGCATGACAGCATGGGCCACAGTGCCAAGTACTGTGCCTACACAGTATTTTGTTGTACAGTGCCATTTATTATTCACTTTGTACTTGTGCAGGTATGTTACTTAGAAAGTACTGTGGAAATTGTAGCACATTATAGCTGATCAACTTGGAAGATACAGTAATATGTAATAACAACTGAAAAGCATAATACCACCCAGGGGAATTTTTAATGCATTTATACATTATATAAATCCCATTGTCCCAGAGCACAAATCCCATCATCTCAGTGGCTGTCCTGCTCAATCTTAATCCCATTCCCATTTTCTATTGTTTTTTTGCTGATGAGTCCCAGTGCATGAAATCCCATTTTCCCACCCAAAAATAAGCAAATCCCAGTTCCCATTTTACCCCTTCAGGACCCTCATTATATATGCATGTATTTATACAGTATAATTTATTTTCCATTTCTAGAGAAATGAAGCAGGTAGCAGTACTGCAATGGAGTATCATGGTTTTGTAAGGAGCATGGAATATCTTCTGGGCTGTGGATTACTGATTAAGACGTTTGTTTCAGATCGACATACATCAATTGCAAAGCACATGAGGGAAAAGCTGGCCAACATCAAACAATATTTTGACATTTGGCATTTGAAGAAAAGTATGTTGCAAATAATAATAATATGCAATATTTATTTATTTATTCAATATCAAAAGTCCATGTATTCTTCCATCTGAATACATAAGAGTGTATCATGTAAAATTAGAATGCTGTTTTTAGGTTTGTAATCCAAGTGAGTATATATACACTTTAAGACCTGACCAGGAATGACTGTCAAAAATGCAGCACATTTTCCACATTGCATTTTTCACAGTCACTCCTGGTCAGGTCTTAAAGTGTATATATACTTAATTGGATGAATGAATGAACATAATTTTTGATGAGGATACCAACTTCACAAGTAGTGGTTTACAGAGGGGTCCTCGGGATTACAAACTTAAACACAGCATTCTAATATTAATTCCACCAAGTGAAGTGCAAGAGGCCGGATTATTGAGGTCCACCTTATCATGTAAAAACCCATGAAATTTGACTGGCACCAGGACACTGAATAGAAACTGTACAGAAATATAACTTCATATATGGATGCCTATGATTTTGGAGTGATCATTCACACCATGGATCTAGGCAGTGCGTTAAGCAGAGGCATTCCCTCCTGAATGTTTGCCATTTTGAATATACAGGGGGGTGAATGCCTTTCATAAGCGCCCTGGCTTAGTCAGCATTTGATGACAAATCATGGCATGGCATGGTTACGGTGCAGTTTATATTCTGTAACCAGGATGCAAGATAAAATAACCGGGGTATGATATTGCTCTGAGTGAGTGCACGAGTGATTGACAATTTTATTAACTGGTAAAGAATAAAATCATATCAATAATTATGGAGAAATATGGAGCTTTCTCATTTTTTGTTTCCTTTGATGGTACCGGTATATAATTTTTTTTTGCTGTAATACCATTCTATTTTAGAAGTCACAAAAGTCTTGACAAAACTTGCTAAAGTTAGTGGCAACGAAATAATCAGTGAGTGGATTAAGCCATGTACAAACCACTTATATTGGAGTGCCAGAACAACGCAAAGTGGAAATGGGGATGTTATTTGGGCTAAGTTTTCATCTTTCTTCAGCCATGTTGTTAATAAGCACAAAAATTTGACAAACCTGTTGTTTGATAAGTGTGCACATGCAGATGAGATTCACCCACGCAAGTGGATGGATGAAGGTTGGTAGTGCTATGTCAATGTTGTTATAATTAGTACAATATTCCACAATTCCTCTATGCAATTGCCTGTAAATCCTTATCCTTGGGTCATTGAAATGACCAACTTCATGCTCAGATTTATGACCAACTTCATGCTCTTTTTACCTTCCATACCGGGCTAAAACCAAAAAATCCCTCTTCCAATAGTACAATCTCATAATAAGTAAATTAATTAAATAAAAAGCAGAAGCCCTTTGGGGGTATAAAAAGGAATAAAATTGTATATTCACAACTTGTATGCACATGAATAGTTTTAATTGTTCAATAAAATAAATATCTATTAATCATTTTCAGGTTCCATTGCTTATGAGAAAATGCTTGCAGCTTTAACAAATAAAAAATTGATGAATGGTATAAAGAAGGCATCTCCTATTGGTCAGACAAGCTGCCTTGAAGGCTTTCACTCTGTACTGAATCAATTTTCACCAAAAATGATTGGATACAGCTATCCAGGAATGTTCTGCAGGTATAGTGATTTTTGCAATAGCATGTTTGTATATTTATCACTCTTTAATTAAACAATTGTATTGGAATATTTTAGGCATGCACTTGCTGTTATTCATTTTAACAAAAACCTAAATCGCAAGAACAAAATGAAGAATGGGGTTGAACAAGTCCATGTTGTCTACCCAAAATTTAAAAATGGAGAGGCAGTTATTCGGAATGTGAAAGTGCAACAAAACTTTGGTATGTATAATGTACTGTAGTTAATACAATATAACAGTGGCAAGACTGACTGGTGTTCCAGGACTATTAAGTTTGTCATGCCGATAAGCTCACATATTCTATCAGAAGTTCTTAGATCTTTGGTTAGGAAGGATGACAAAAATAGTATAGCAAAAAAATTTGGGATACAGATCTAGCAACCATTTTTTTACTAATTTGTAATTACATTATTGCATTATTTATTACATTGAAGATTACGTGGATGAAATATATGACACAATGGTGGATGCAATTGTAAATAAAAAATTGGAGAATGAAGTGAAAGAAATAAAGAAGGAAACACCACTCCCAATGAACACAATGCTTGACAAACAGCCACGCAGTGAAGCTATAAAAAAGAAACAATCACGGGAAAGCATGCCAATTGTTGATGTGCCACCAACAAATCCTGGTAGGTTGTTTAATTAAAAAAAAATTGTCATTACAGCATTACTTTTCACCTATCAGTAGCAGCACTATCCCCTGATGAGTTAGGCCGAGCAAAATAATACAATATCCTAAAAGGCTGTTGTAATTGGTAAAATCCCTTTATATTTTGCTAAACTAGCCCATCGATCCAGGGTAAAGTGTTCTTTATTTTGTTTTTTATACATTTATAGTGCCTGTTGTGGTTGCCTCAAGTAATACAGTAGTGAACACAACAAGAAGCAAGCCAAAGTGCAAAATATGCAAAAGACCAATGAAAGGTCACAAAAATGTAGAAGACTGCCCAAAAAATAGATAAAAATTGCAAGATATGCAGTCACTGTTTTTTTTTACCAGCAATGTACATTACCAATGAAAAGGCCATGTTACAACAAGGCAATTTATGTCACTATGCAGACACTTTCTTGACATAATATATTCAAATGTTTAGTAAACAGTGACAATCTGTGAGATATACCCAGTCAAAAATTGGGTTGCAACTTGCAGCAAAAATTGCCTTCAGTAACATTACATGTATTATAAATTCTAATTCATTCCGATTAATACCAATAGACTATAACAGAAGCATAGTGATAGCATTGTACACAATAGACCTTACTGTTTCTTGATGTTTGATCATGCAATGGCCTCGTTTTCGTTTCTGGTATTTACTTGTGTTTCGTGCACAATAGGGTTAAGAACTTACTTGTTATTGGGCTTAAGATCATCCATGAACCAAATCGCAAAGGAAACTTAACATGGGAATATAACCTTTGTGTGTGCCTGTATGCCAAAACTGACAAACCCGAAAACGGGACCATTGGGTCAAAAGTGAATAAAAGGTCTATTGTAACTTCAAGTTCATTCTTTTGTGAGCAGACAGAAATATCAAACAAAATTCAAAATAAATCAAAGAATGAAGTTGAGGCTAATGCATATTTATTATATAATGCTATGCTCCAGTAATTATGGGAGACATTGGGTTGCCCCACTCATACCCAGGTTTGTTAGAGAATATAATTGAGTTATTAGCTACTATATAGAGATCAGTGGCAAAGCTGAGCTTTCATCCGGTTACATTTTTATGTCACGCAGTCACAAAATATGATTGGTTAGGGTTATTGGGAGGGATTGCATTAGGTTTTGTGATAGTGTGACATGAAAACATAACTGTTCCTCCCCAAACATCCTGTGTGTGCTCGTCCTGATCTCTATATACTGTAGTACAGTAGCTTAGCACGATTATATGTTTTTTCTCTCTAAAGTGCCTGTGTACAAGGCTGGGGTAGAACAGATTGAAAAGAAAAATCAAATATATGATTATACAAATATATGATTTATGAGTATACTGTACATTCAGATAATTCAATTTAGTTCTGTTCCTCCAGATCTTCATACCCTCTAAAATCATCATTATTTTCTTTGAAAGCTGTGCGGATAGCATGGTAGGCACATGCTGGCAATGGTATTCTCTTTTCTTTCAAATAACCATGAACAAATCTGGTAAACTGTCTGTATGCAACCACACGAAGAAACCTGAAACCATGGAGTATTATTAATTAACTATTTTATATTACATTATTAAACTGATGTTGTTTAGTATATTAAGGGCCTGTTTATATGGAAGCCGGGCTGGTCCGGTAAGCGAGACAGCCCGGTCAGCGAGATCTCGCTGTGTAGTTATTTTTATAGTAAAAATTATCGTGAGTTTATATGGACAAGCAGGCTGGCCCGGTTGCTGAGATCTCGCTTGAAAGAGGCGAGATCTCGCTTGCCGGGATGGAAATTTCTCCATATAAACACTCACAAGCGGGCTAGCCCGGTTGCCGGGATGAAAGTTCAAAGATACCGCCGCAAGCTATTTTTAGCAACTGTCAAAACAATACAATGTAACAAAATTGTCCCGGCAAGCGGATGAAATTTTCTCATATAAACAAGAGAAATCCATCCCGCTTACCGGGCTGTCTCGCTAAGCGGGCCAGCCCGGCTTCCATATATATACAGGCCCTAAATAACACATGAGTCAGAAATAAGAACTGACCTTTCCTTCGAGTCAACTTGTCTATATTTCTGACCACCGCGTGTTTTAAAATTCTCGGTTGCGAGCTCCAAAGCCCACCTGTTTAGACAAATCGCGTCAAATCCTGGATGGTTTGTGATACACATTTGTTGGCTATTCGCGAGAGTCAATGCATCAACACACTTTGGTATTTCAGTGCAACAGCGACATTCCTTTGCATCTACTAAATTATCTGTATTACAGAAACCACAATTGCACCTAGAAAAAAATATGGTTTAGCTGTTGTGATTTCAGTATTAATACAATATAGTTTATGTAAACATATATATTCCATCAGACCATGGCAATATGGCGGCCAAAGATATTGATTATCTTACCAAGAATTCACGGGGTTTTGTCCGTTTAGTCGAAGATTTAATTCCTCTATTTCCCTGGTATATTCGTCTTGTCTTCTTTCATATTCTTCGACCCATGATTCGTCTGCAAGGGGCTCGTCAGTGTATGCTAACGAGTCCATGCTGTCTAGCAATTCCTCTTCGACGGCATATGATGTCTCACTCTCATACCCATCTTTTGACGTCGTTTCCAAATCTTCATCTTCAATTTCATATTCAGGGCAACCATAGGAGCCCTCGTCAACAGTAGAGGACGATTCTGAGCTAGACATAGCGATTTATCTTTATGTTTTTGTCGGCCGCGATGCAAAAATGTAATTGATTTTATAATACTTGACGAACGACCGGTTCCTGAGTCCCAGTCCCCCAAGACGACAGATTTTTTTGAAAATTGCCATGTTTGAGGGCCTATATCTCAGAAACTATTGAACTAAATCAAAAAAGGTTGAAGAACTTAGTAACTAACTTTTTCTGCTCTTTCCAAATTCGTAAAGATCCCACAAGTGATATAGGCACTTTAAACAATTTCCTCTTATACCATAATGTTCTAGTTTTTTTTAGAAGAATTTCATGGTTAACTGTGTCAAAAGCCTTAGATAGATCAAGGAAAATACAGATTGTGTATTTTCCTTCATCTATGGCCTTTGAGATTTTGTCAGTCAATTCAATAATAGCATGTTCAGTGGAGCGATCTTTCCTGAAACCATACTGGTGTTTAGATAAAATGTTTTGTTTTTCAATATATGAGATCAGTCTTTTGTACATTACTTTTCCAAGCAATTTTGAAAAACACGCGAGAACTGAAATTGGCCTATAATTTTCAAATAGACATTTTTCATTTGCTTTAAAAATAGGAGTAACAAGTGTATTTTTAGTGTATTTGGTATTAATCCAGTTTCAAAAGTTAAATTGAAAATATGTGCAAGAGGTTTGCAAATCTCTTGTTTTATTGCTTTTACCATTTTGGCACTGATATTATAACCTGCACTTTTGGTTACGGTACATTTAAGTTATCACTCTCAATCAAGATTTCATATTCTGTAACAGGTTCAGTAAACATACTTTCTCGATAGTTACCTTTGAGATAATTTTCAGTCCCTTTGAGATAATTTTCAAATGGTATTGTGTCATTTTGTTGAATACCTTTGGCCAGATCCAGTCCAACGTTTAGAAAATATTCGTTGAATTTGTTTGCAATCTCAATTGGGTCAGAATACTTGACATTTGAGTTCTTTTCTCGAAACATATGAGGAAGCCCTTCCTTCTTTTTATTGTTTCGATTTAATATTCGATTAATGGTCTGCCATGTCATTTTGCCATTGTTTTTGTATTTAATAAACTGACTCTCAAAATAATCTTTTTTAGTTATTTTAATTAAATGTTTTAATTTATTTTTGTATTTTTTATATGTGGTTTCGCTCTTAACACTTGGGTTTTTGAGATACTTTTTATAAAGTTTGTTTTTAATTTCTATAGATTTAGAAATACCTTGAGTCATCCAGGGACTATTGTCATAGTCGACAGTTTGTTTTTGTCCATTTACCAAAGGAAAGCTCTTTTCAAGTGCTTGTATTAGTTTATTATGAAAGATGTTCTTTGCTTTGCAAGGGTCATTGTCTTCAATAAAGTTATCCCATGACATAAGTTTCATGGCATTTGAAAATGATAAAAGATTGCTATTGTTTATAATTCTTTGATGTTGCGAAGTTTTGCCTTCAGAATTATATATTTTCCTTGCTAAAGATGTAACATGAAAAATAGGATGATGATCTGAAATATCAGTAAAAATCAATCCATTCTTACTGCTTTCAATTTGTTCAATATCATTGGTGAATATATTGTCAATTAATGTTGCGGTGTGTTCCGTTATCCTCGTAGGCCTAGTTATAAGAGGGAGAAATGATGACGTAAAAAGTTGCTCACTGAATCTGTCAGAAATGTCACAACTTTCAGTCTTTAAAAGGTCTATGTTAAAATTCCCCATTAAGTAAGTTTTTTTTTGACTTGTCTATTTTTGTAAGAATTTTACTTATACTAGTTTCAAATATTTCAAATTTTCTGTTCGGCGGTCTATAGATCGTGCCAACAATTATATTCTTGCCAACTGTTGTGACTATTTCAATGAAGAGTGATTCAATTACTCCTTCTTCATTAATATTAAGGTCAGGACGAAGTTTGAAATTTAAATCATCTGTGCAACGTTATAGATTAACCTTCGTTCAACGTTACGCCATGGCTACCACTGACCTTCTAACAACGTCTGGCCAACGTTACGTTATTACTTTAAAGCAACGTTCCCTCTAACAAAATGAACATGGCGCAAAAACATTCCAACAACGTTTGCGCAACGTTATAGCGTTACTCATAGACAACGTTACAGCATGACATTCCAATAACGTCTGCGCAACGTTACATATTATATGTTGAAACAAAGTTTTCCCAACCAAAGAAGTGAACGTGGCACAGAAAATTCCAACGGCATTTGCGCTACGTTATATTTTATAATTCAAGTAGAACGCTCACATGTAGATATCGAACTGACTCAACTGCTATAGTTAAATTAAAAGTTGTCATTAACTGTTGAAAGAGTCATAATTAACGTTTATGGCCTCGGCGATCGACATCAGAGATTTGACTGATTAATCAGACCAGTAATTATTACTCTACCACGATCGACAGACGTACTGTGTGTACTCATATTGATAATATATAGAACTAAATTTATTCTTGTTGAATGCCTATATAGCTGCATATGTCCATGCCAATTATTTAATTGTGCGCCTAAACACGAGGTGATCGAAACGTTTTAACAACGTCTGTTCGACGTTATTCCGAACGTCAAAGCCTAACCACCAGGCAACGTTATATTTCAACGTTATAGCGACGTTATAGCGACCTTACAGCGTGGTCTAGCTAGAGTGATCGAATGATTCGAACAAACTGAACACCAGTTTGCTTCGAACTTCCAAAGCAATTCTGGCTGGAGTTGCTCCAAAGAAAGGTTTTCTGACAGCGATCGGCAAAATGCCTGAGCGCGGGTTACGCATCAATAACGATGAACCAATCACAACAGGTTTAGTGAGAAAGCCGCGCGCTGATTGGTTGAGCTAATGCTGTGTCAGATGCATATTATGTTTATTTCGTGGTTATTCCCATACTTTCCCTCGCCTGTTGTGGATATTTCTTCTGGCTGCTTGGATGTTCTATATCTGCGTTTACTTATATTACTTGTGATATCAACGCATTAAATGTAAGTATAAATACTGCGTGTATATGTTTCTTTAAATTGTGTAATCAGGGCTATATATAATAACGTATATTCATAGTAATATTCTGCATTATTTTGTAGCGTCTATTGAATACTCTCTCTGTTGCCTATTTCAAGCTTCGAAAATAATACCCACTACAGATCAACACAGAGACTTTGATGTAAGTATATATTAAATAAATTGTGTTATTTATAATGGTATTGATCTCATACTATGATATTAGTTCTATGATATCACATATGTGAAGTCTAAAGTCCTTTGAATGTCGTCTGCCTGAGACATCAAAGGAAATTATATGTCTGCTACAAACAATTTCTTTGATTTTGTCGGTTTGCGCTAAATTCGTAACCAGCTCGTTTTGCGTGTTAAAGGCAAAATATGAACTAGGAGTTGCTTTTACAGGTTATTACAATTAATATATACTATATAGTGTAATAGGTACGTATTGAAGTATTAACATATTTACCGGGAAGAAGGCCTTAGGTGATTTCCTGAAAGGCCAAAGGTTGTTGTTTTGACAATTTCAAAGATGGCCGCCTGAAGTCTTTCGCATATAAAAATATTCTGAAAATATAGATCACTCTTAGCTACAGCTAGCGTGTATATTTTTAAGTCAGACCAGAAACATTTGTTTGAAATATTTGTAATAACACAATACATTAAAACTGATGCTTGTATAACTGGGCAGTTAAGGTTACAGAACACCTTTGAGTGTTAATTTTGCCTAAAATTTTTTTATTGGTTTCCATGAAAGCATTAGACTAGTTCTACTATCTGACCAAGTTTGAACGGAAAATGTTGAAAACTCGCAGAGTTATTTAATAAAATACATTTCGCTGCAATAAGAAAAACATTGAAAATGTAATATTCAAATTCAATTTTCTCCCGAAAAATTTTACGGTAATTACTGATTTTCAAACGAGTTGTGCTCCCGCGGGTTTTAACCAATTTTTCTCAAATTTTCACAGGGCATAGCTAAAGACGTCAGTTTCAAAATCGTGTTCGGCTTTTTTTTAATTTTGAATATTTTAAAAATAAAGAGCAATTTACTAAAACAATTCAGAAATATATTGCAGTCGTCAAAGAAATCGCCATATCAGCGGAATGACGAAATAAACAAAAATTTCCGAACACGATTTTTTAGAACAACTATTTTACTGTATAAAAATTATATTTTCATAAATATAACTTAAAACCAGCAGGAACATAACTCAAAAGCGTAACGGTACCGCGATTTAAGATTTTCCTGAATAATTCTTACATTATTTTATTGTTTGTTAATTTTACAACTTTACCATATTTTGCATGCACTGGAGAACATTTGGTGAAAATTTGATGAAAATCGGACTGATATTGAGCGCGCAGTAGCGATTTTCCGCAAAACGCCAAAAAAGGTGTCCTGTAACCTTAATAGAATGATCTGGCTGTGGCAGGGCAAAAAATTTTGCATGTTTGGCACACTGTTACTGGAAGTGCCCACAATGCGCACCAAACCAAGTAAGATTTAAAACAGAAGTAATAAATACTCAAAAACAAAGAAATATAGCAAACAAATACAGATGGTCAACATCAAGGCAGGATTAAAATGGATTGTTATAAAAATATTGATTATTTAATATCACAATTTGCGCCATATAATAGTCTTCAACAATTGCCATTATGAAACAATGCTTTGATTTTTTTATGATTTTCATTAATCCAATACCTTCAAATAAATCTTGATCTACTGCTGAATGTTTCAAAACTACAAGAGGTTTCAAGACTAAAAGAGACTGTATAAATTGTCAATTTTAACTGCCTGTGCATGAGATATATTGTGTGTTAAATAAAGGATTAACATATTACAAATGCATAGGTGTATAGGCAGGGGAGCAGCTATTCCTGGTGGACTACCACTACCAAAGGGTTTGAATGACCGGGCTGCTGTATATATTTTTAGGCATATCGCTATAACCCCAGTTTTTTTACCCCTGCCAATGTGATCAACTGATCAAGTATTTATGTCCCTGAGCTGGGATGGACATAAAATGCTCAAATGCCCTACTAGTACCTTAGTAACTTGCTGCAGTAATTAAATGCTCACAGTATATTTGCAAAGCATCATTATTCTGATATGTACATATACATATCGTTATATCATAGATAACTGGCTCCAAATGATTTTTCGAGTTAGCGACTTCATGCATGCTTACATACTTAGTGGCTAGGTTGGCTGGCCACACTACACATACTTTTTGTATATCCAGTAACTTCACAATGCTTATTTCACCTCAGTTAGTTTTAAATTACACAAGTTACTCAACTATACCCATCTGAGCTACAGGGCCAAGATGGGAACGATGTTACTGTACTTGGCTCAATCCTATTTTGCATACACTAATAGTATTCCTCCCTCAATAAGTATTCAATTTTTAAATCCAAAAACTTTCTCAGGTTTATTAACACCATAACATCAATTATCTCTGCCTTAAAATCATTAAGACCCGAATAACCCTCCTCAAAAAAATGTTCATACAAATGTTGACCACATATCCTTTTAGAGAATTTGGCCCTTAGAAAATGAGTTCATATCAGTTTTATTTTGAGATTGGAGAAAACATATAGCCCATGCATATAAATTAAAACAAAGCAACTACATAATGCGTTTGTACAACTGACAGTTATCTAAATATAGATGATGCGTGGCCACATATTAAATTCAAACTTTCTCTGACCAAATATTTTATTTGACGAGCTTTCGGCTATCCGACCTGTAGCTTTCAACGGGTAACTAACTAAGCAGTTGAATTTAATATGACAGTTATTTGTTCTATAGCTGTGGTAATGAAAGCAACTAAGCGAGCACAGTACAAAAGAACCTGGGCTGCAGCAGCTCGAACTTTGAGACGTGCTCAGTGTGATGCTACACCTTCCGAAGATGAAAGTACAGAGTTACTCGAACTCTCTTTTAATTCGTCGCCAGGAAACAGTAACACTGAGTCTGAACAAGATGTCCTGGAGCCTTCCCCCAAACGTGGGCAGACCTGCTCTGAAGCAAGCTGTTCAAATGCTCAAAGTGATGATTTAGATGAGATTAGGCCTGATCCCTGCTGGTCTTCTGAGTCTGACTCTGAAGACAATAATGTAAATGATGCTTTTCTTGCTGAAGGCTTAGGAAACTGGGCTAACAAGTTTCTCATCAAACACAATGCGCTTGATGGACTTCTTGTTCTTCTCAAGGAGAATGGCCATCCAAATTTGCCTGTTACTGCCCGTACATTGTTGCAAACAGAAAGAAATATTACTATCCAGAAAAAGTCTGGAATGGAGTATATTTATTTCCCTCTAGCTAGTCAGTTGTTGAAGCACTTTAAGAAGTACCCTCCAGATACAGTTAGGGGGACCAATTCTCTAGAAATTTCATTGAATATTGATGGTCTTCCATTATTCAAGAGTTCAGGCATGTCTTTGTGGCCAGTGTTATGTGCCATTGTTAGCATGAAGCCTGTAGTAGTTTTTCCTGTTGTGCTAACTTGTGGTAAATCAAAACCTAAAGATTTAGAATTCTTGGAAGATGTTATTAGAGATTTGGATGATGTTCTGGAAAATGGACTACAGGATGGTGGTCGGCTAGTTGAAGTTACTTTGAGGTGCATTGTTTGTGATGCTCCCGCAAGAGCTCTTGTAAAAGGCACTAAGTTATGCTCCGGTTATTTTGGATGTGACAAATGTGCACAAAAGGGCTTGTGGGTTGGAAGAGTGATATACCCTTTGCTGAAAGATATTGAATTGCGCACAGATACCTCCTTCAGAGAACAGGTTGATGAAGGACATCATCATGGTACAAGTCCATTCTGTAATCTTCAAGTTGACATGATTAAAAAATTTCGAATTGACTATATGCATCAACTTTGTTTAGGAGTCACTAGGAAATTGATTTTGACATGGATGCGAGGAAAACGTCAAGTGAAAATATCAGTTGGTCAAGTGGAAACAATTAGTACTAAATTACTAGACCTCAAATCTTGCATACCTAGCACATTTGCACGAAAGCCAAGGAGTTTGGTTGATGTTGACCGGTGGAAAGCCACTGAATTTAGACAGTTCCTTTTATATACGGGTAAGATAGTTTTAAACAGTATCCTAAAAGAAGAACAATTTCAGCACTTCTTGTGTCTAAGTGTTGCCAGTTGTATTTTGGTGTGTCCAATGTTAAGTCAGTCTCACAGAGACTATGCCAAACAGCTGATGGAATACTTTGTCGAGCAGGGGAGAATTTTATATGGTGATGAATTTTTGGTCTATAACGTGCATAGCATGGTTCATTTGGCTGATGAAGTGAAAGAATTTGGAAGCTTGGATGCATGTAGTTCCTTTCCATTTGAGAACTACATGCAAAGGTTGAAAAGACTTGTACGGTCCGGAAAGAATCCTATTGCACAGGTTGCCAAACGACTGAGTGAGTATTCTGGTGCTATTGAACCCACATGTGAAGCGAAAATCAGTCTAAAGAAACCAGACAATGCTTTTCTTTTAACTGGTTCATCTTGTTGTGAAGTGGTTGACAACGTCGCTAATCTTGATGAGAATGGAAATGAATTATATCTCTGTCGAGTTTACGAGAGAACCGATACTCTTTTCACAACTCCATGTGATTCTCGGCTAATTGGTGTTCATAAGGCTACTGTTCGCTGGACAACAATGAAAGTCCTTCCTTCCCACCTTCTCAAGCGAAAGGCAATAAAGATTGACCTTGGTCATAAGAAAGTCGTGTTCATGGCTGTATTGCACACCAACAGTTAGTGGTTATTAAGGTACTAAATAATGCAGATGATTTCCTTAAATTTGGCTAGGAATATTTCAATCTTTGTTTAGAAGTCCAATATTTGTTGCTACCATACGCTTATAGCAATATTAAAAAAAGTTTTATTATCTGAGCATTTAATTTTGTATTTCTTAACAGCTATACCAACTTTCTGTTTACAAATTATCTGCTCTGAACTCCATTATAAGTTGGCAACAAATTTGCTAATTTCTGAAGAAAGTTTGAAATATGGGTGGACAAGTCTGTGAAATCAACTGCAATAAAATAACCAGCATCAGCATGAAATTTAATGACACATACATTACTGCCAAGACTGCAAATTTGAAATAGTGTGTTAATTAGTGTACATAACAATACTTGATTAATCCATTTTTTATATTCATTTTGAAATCAGAGGTGTTTCCTGCAATCTGACTGGTTCACAGGGGTGCAATTTCAGCACAAAATGCACTCGTAGCAGTGCGATTTGTGCTGAAATTGTGTGCCTTCTTTCAACCAATCACATTAGAGTGCTCACTTCAGCCAATTAACCAGGGCGAATCTCTCAATTTTTCTGCGCCGAAGATTTTTCGAATTCATGCGCCAAGAAAATTGTCGCGAAAAATATGCGCTTTTCGGAAATCTGTTACATAAACTCTCAACTGCTTGACCAAATCTTTGCCAAATTTCTGCGCCAAATGGATCTTTGGGGCCAAATTGTTGCGCCAAATCAATATTTGTGATCAATCTGCCCCAAAAATGTGGGCCAAATTTTGTTCGAGTCGCTGTTCTGCACCGAAGATCTTTCGGAAATACACCTTCAAATTTACTCTGGCCAATTAATCATATTTATCTTAGTAAGCTGCAGAGCTTCCCATTCCCAATGGACAAGTGAAATCATCTTGCGTTAGACAAGTAAAAAAAATAAGTAGGGAACACTTGGGTGGATTACGGCTCAATGGATTAATCGTATGATTCAAACAGTCAATCAATTTAAGAAAAAATCTGATATGGCAAATACGAAAAAAAACCAACAAAAAAGCTACATATGTCATGAATACTTTTGCCTGGCCAACCAATTTTTTGCACATAAAAAAATATTGATAGCTACAGTACAGTAACTATGAAAGAATTGCAAAGAATTTTCGACTTTTTTAATTTTACAAATAGTAACAGGCAAATTAAGAACATAATCTTCTATCAAACATGGTCAAAATTCCAACAACAGCAGATTTAAGGCAAAACAAGGTTTATTAAAAACTTGCCTATCGTGTTTCCAATTTAAACACACACTCTATCAAATCACTCTTAAAACCTACAATATGTTTAAACTTACTTGTGTTGTCTCTTATCCCAATGAATGACTTAATTTCTTTTAACATTTCTTGCAATATTTGAAACAAAAGTACAAAACTATTAAAAGTTCGCCTTGTTTGCTTATTGTTGCTATGCTACAGCATTCAGGGAGGTACCGGAGGTGTGTCTTTTGCAAACAGAAACGCTTCCGCTTTACAAAAATATTAAAAAGACCATGTAAAGTCCGTTCTGCACACACGTTCTGTGCATTCTGTGGCACAGGCCTACATTCCAATGGTCGGGTCCCGACCATTGGAATGTTATTAATGAATTGAAACTCTGATCTGTATTTCTTTACAAGCATATAATATATATCTAATCATATTTTACAACTATATAGCACTGAGTTCAAAATGTAAACAAAGCGCGTTTGTTTACATTAATACAGACTTTGCATGGCCTTCATGATTTCAAAATGAATATAATAAAGCACAAGAGGCCCAATCTTGCAAGGGTCAGTATACAGTGGCGTAGTAAACTTAATAATTGTGTGTGGGGGTGGGGGCAATATTCGTATTCTGCATTATTGATTTATTTCCAAATCAATTGTTTTTAAGGTCGGTGAACACTAATATATGAATATTGCTCCCCCCCCCCCAATTATCGAGTTTGCTACGCAACTGTCAGTATAGACTTATATAGTAATGTATATTATAGTAAAAATATGCCATAAAATATAAATTTTAAAATGAACTTGCCTATTTGATAGTGTGTGCATGTTCTCCTTTTATTCCTCTTTTGTTGTTGGACTAATATTTTCCGAGACTTTGCACTTGATGGTACTAGTATACACAATACTAGTACCATTGAGTGCAAGGTCTCAGAAAATACTAGTCCAACAAGAAAGGAATAAAAAGAGAACACACATCAAGTCAAATAGGCAAGTCAAGTTCATTTAAAAAATTTTATTTTATGACATATTTTTATTATAATATACATTACTATACTATACTGCACCTTGCGAGATTGGACCGTCTGTGACTTCGTGTCCTGCAATTTTGGACCGAAATCAAACTTGTGATTACAAATCACACTTCGCGGTTGTGCGATTTTGTAATCACGCGTTTGATTTCAGTCCAAATTGCACTCCACTCAATTCAATTTCCAGTATTTGTTTTGTCGTTTCACGACTCAAACAATCTGTGAAACTTTGAAAACAAGCGTGAAATTAAACCTTAATTTTACTTGGCCCTATGCGATTACCTATTCTAATGCCAAATGCACCCTTGCTTACCCTAATTTTACTTTAAAGCACGACATCCTGTGTTAGACAGAGTAAATACTAAAGTAGGGAGCACACATGGGGCACATTGCATGTTAATGGATTAATTACTACGTACAGAACAATTTGTCTTCATTGTATCAGAATTGAACTATGTGTGCAAAACATTTTCATTATAGTGAGGTGTTTTGATATCTTGTTCTATTTGGACATAATTGAGTAGCTACGAATTAATTAGGTGTTTAATTGCTGATGGCATTTTGGCCACACACTATATGACTGTTATACAGGCAGTCTAGCAAAACAGAGGGAGCTTAGAAAAATGACTACTGTAAGTTCTCTCATTCAACAGACAAGATCCTATTTTTATTAACTCCTAATAGCTTTATCAAATTTTGCACTTTTATTTCCGTTCAGATGGAAACTGATACATATGCTGTTGTCGACAGGCGCGGATCCAGCCTAAACCCTGACCGTGGCTCACTCCAAAACCGTCAATAATTAGGGGGGTCCGGGGGCATTCCCCCCCTGGAAAATTTTTGAAATTTGAACCCCGGAAATGCCATTTCCCGAGTTCTGAGCATCGAATTCTATCATATAATTCGTCATTAATTTCGCCATATTTTAGAGAGCAAATAACGAAACGCACTAAATATGTCAAATATTTAAACAGCATACCATGTTCTTCAACGTTACAACATTAGAATGTTACAAAATCACTGTACTTACATAAAACCACAACTATGTACCGCATGTACTGTTCCTGTGTATTTCAGGTTCTTCGTAGCAAAAAATATCCAATTAGGGCTGTACATCGAACTCAATCATCTTGGCGTTTCAGTTGCAACGCAGGTCTTTTACGCGGTGGGTTTTTTCAGCTGCACATGCATCGATAGCAAGTGTCTTATTCTCGATCATTCGCTTAAACTGTGTAGCACGGAAAGTTGCCGTTGCGTGAACATTGGATTTTTCACCATGCTGACATAGTCTCTGGACAGCAGAAGCACTTGGAGGAAGAGCACTGGTCATCAATAGTTAGAGCTCGCTTGCATTATGCGTGCTTTCACTGCCAAAAAGAACACAAGTGACGCAAAAACCACCGTTTGCCACAGCAGAGTAAGCCAACCTTGGAAATTGTGATAACTATGCCAACCGGAAACGTCTACCAATATTTTCGCGTGGAGGAAAAGAAAAATCAGAACCAGGTTTCCAATGGCAATGATTGCACAGAATTTCGTACTTTTTCGAATTAGGAAGACTGGACACCAGATTTACGTAGTTGTAGATATCATCTGGCCACGAATTGGTGGAAGTTCGTTGTGTTTTGGTGTTAGATTTTTCTGAAGTAGGACCAGTGTTGGGAGTTACAGATGAAATTCCTTTACTAGTGCTGGGAAATTTGATTTCACTGTTATCTACAGTTTCGTGTGTGTTGCACGCTCGTTTCACAAGAAGCGCACCGATCTAAGCCAATTTGTTTTCTTTTTGGACCAGTCGTCTGCTTTTTAGTAAATGTAGTCACTTGTGTAGAGGAAGGAGCAGAAATAACTTTAGTAGAAACTTTAGGAGAAACTGTAGGAGGAACTTTAGGATGAACTGGCATCGCAGACT